ATTCAAACCTGGAAAAATAATATTTATGTGGCTATTGAGAATCATTATGATTGATGCCATCTTTTGTGTTATTGCCTTTACAGTCACTTGCATTTGTTATTTTTAACAAGGAAAAATGAAAGGGGAAATGGTGTGTTTTTGTTTTGCAACAAAGCTTTTCTGGTGATGACTAACTTCTTCCTTTGAACACAAAAAGCCTCTTTAACTAATGTACATATAAATATATTCTTTACAATGTGCACTAAGCAAAGAAAGGGAAGGGGAGGGCAGAGGGCTGTAGGACTTGAGCCAGAATTAAAAGCAACCTAGGCAAGATGAATACATGAAAGCTGTCAGGATAGTTGTTATTCTTACTCTCAATTTCTTAAGGCGCATCTGCTCTCAAGGAAGGAAAAAAAAATCATAGTTTCTTTTAACCATACCCACAACAGATCTCACTTGAAAGGAAACATAGCGAGTGATTTGGCATGAATGGGCATATTACCAATTTTCCAGCATCACTACTGAATATTTATGTCGGTGACGAATGATGACACTGGTGAAATATTTTAACATGAAGCCTTGCCTTGTAAATCGTCTCAATGATGCTGTGTCAAAACAACACCTACCATAAATCAGAGGCTTCAGGACCAGTATTTCTTGTTCTAACATGCTACCTGCTCAGCAGAATCACTTGTGTGAACAGGCACAGATTAACGTGTGTTAAGCAGAGCCCTCTTACCTCCTAACTTGTAGAGCTATAATTTCACAGGCCTATTATCGTCAAGGTAATTTTGACAGTGCTGAAATATTATACTTGTTAAAAGTACGCATTTAGCACTAACCCCAGTGGTCATTTGCACTGAATAGACAGACGGGCATCCCTGCAATCATTATTCTTCGCTACTGATGACTCTTCTTTTCCAGCAAGGCAGTGCTCTGTTGACAACTGATTTTATAAATAGTACAGAGCAAGATGGGCGTCCTGACAGTACAAAGAGCTCAGCGTGTTGCTTTCAATTAACTTTCTTCTTCCCCGTGACGTCATTACACACTTGCAGTGGAGGCTAAGAAGTCCCAGCCACGTGCAAGAGACAGAACCACAGTTCACACCCTTTCCACCCTCGTCCTCGCACCAGCGCTCAACTCCCACACATCGCACGGCCCAATTCGGGGTGTTTTACATGTGTGAAATCTCCAGAGCCTCACTTCCCACTCAGTCAAATTGAATCTTCATCCTTAGTGCAATTCTAGATTTTTCATTAGGGAGGACACAAGAATATGTTTTCCCTTAAAGTAGAGGTCCTACCCTTCCTATTCTGCACCCCAACAGGCATAAGCACCCTCCACCAGAAAAATTTAAATGACCCCAAACAGTACATTTCTTAGGGGGAGGGTATAGCTCAAGTGGTAGAGCGCATGCTTAGCATGCACGAGGCCATGGGTTTAATCCCCAAATACAAACAAACCAACATACTTACTCCCCATTAAAAAAAAAAGAAAAAGTGCATTCCTTTTTCTCTTTTACAGTGCATTCTCTCTAACTTAACTTGATTTGTACAGGAAAATTAAGGATATAAATTTGTACCTTTTTTCCCCACTGGATGCATAAACAAGTGAACACACACACACTCTCAGCAGTGAAATCAGTCGTACGAACATGAACACACCGGCCCTGACCCAGTGAACTTTGCATTTCCCTGAAAGAATAAACACAGCAGGTCCTGGCACCCGGGGCTCGCTTTCTTAAAGCCAAATAAACAAATATTTATCTGAAATGCATTACAGTCCATGCCCCCAGCCAAGTGTTATGTCACCATAATTAGGCAAGAACAAACAGGACAACTACCCTCCCATCTTCTCACCAAAAACAAAGGGTGACATTCTAGGGACTGGATGAGAGTAAAAGGCTCCTGCTGACTCTGATGGTGTGCGAGAGAACGGAAGGCTGCGCTCACATTTCTCCCGAAACTCTCGTTGGACTCAGGCCCTACAAGTGACCATATTCAACCCTTCAGGAATTGAAAGGCATCCAGGCAAGACGTCAGGAGCAGCCTATTGCAGTCACACAGGGATAAAGGTGGCAATTAGCAAATCCAAATAACTTTGTTTAAGATGCTAGACATTCCAGGACAACACTTGGGAGTGATTCTTTAACAAAGAGGTTAATGGTTTAACGTAATAAACCAGGATAATGCTTTTAAAAGTCCCTATCAACACTACAAAATACAAAGTGATAAAAACAGAATTTCCAAGAAAGCGTTAAAATAAAAATCGGATGTTGGCAATAAGGTACATTATATCCTTACATTATATCCCTGAAATAATGTAGATCATGCTGCCCTCTTGTGCCAGATATAGTCAGTAAAACAACAACCTGGATTTACAATAGAATTCACCTGTGAATTTCTAAATGATTTACTGTTGACCTGGAATTTGTGTCACCCATGTATTAAGATCTGACAGAAGTGATCGGGGTTCCGGTGTTAGAAAACAAAGGTTGATCAGGAGCAGGTAGACACGGTCAGAAGAACACAGACTACTAAAACTGACCACCTTCAAAAAGGCAGACTCAACTCCTGCTGCAATCAAAACATGTAGGAAATGTCAGGGCTCCAGAAAATCTGCAATACACATGCACAATATCACTACCAAAATACATCCATCAAAGGGCAGAGCACAACAAAGATAAATCAATGAGAAAAAGGGAAGAAGGTAAGAAGGAGGAGAAAAGAAACCTTGCTTTTGCCATTCTAAGACCACACACTAGTTGATGAAAATTTTATCCAAAAAGTTTAAGATTTATCGGGTTATGAAACACCAGTAGGCAATATGGTATCACACTATATAAACAAACTAAGTAAACTCCATTTAACCATACATGGGTTCAAAATGAAGAGTAACTTAGCCACAGAGCTTGGAGAGACAGATCAGCTCTCCAGGAGGACTAAACTGCAAGCAGAGAAACTACCATTCAGGAGAAACACGCACTTTGCAACCTGACTCTGCCCTTCTGCTTCACACGCATGTAAGTGAACTTGGGACTTCGGTAGGACAGCTGGCGTTTCAGGACCCTCCCCTGAAGGCCTGCTTCTCAGCATAAGTGTCAAGGGTCCCACAGTGATTAGGAAAATGCAGGAGGACCTGGGACGAAAGATGAGAAGGGAAAACAGCATGTCCACCTCTCTACTGTAGACAGGAATTTTTTGTAATTATATAACCATTCAAGTCTGCAGTCAATTAATACTGATGATGAGGAGTAATCATTCCTATGGCTTGTTTTTCCCACTGTAAAAAATACAAAAATTTCTATCCAAATGGAAATTTAACATCTCCCACATAAAGCCTGAAGTATACTTGATTTACAATGCTGTGACAGTTTCAGATGTACAGCACAGAGGTTCACTTATACATACATACGTGCATATATTTTCTTTTCAGATTCCCCCCCAGCCCCCAAAAAATGAATGTTTTAAATCTACCATTGAAAGAGTAAATAATTCATGACCCCTAAACGTTTTAGGCAAAGTGGACTTATCTTTGGAGTACTTATTTGGGCTTCTATTTTCTTGAAGAAATGAATTTCTGCTAATAGATCTAGGACAGGGGAGACAAGATAAACTCTGGTGTGCTTGCTGCTCAAACGTTAGTGACCTTGAAAATTTAAACTTTGCCCCAAATCCTTGAATAATAAATACATCAGCATCTGGAGAAGCCTTGAGGTCTTGAATATGAAAAGCCTGGTTAACCGTGGTGACCAGCATTCAGAGGCTGTGATAACAGAAATTCAGGCCCACTTAATGCTCCCATCTTTAGGACTGCAGCTTTCAGATTACCAGCAAAATGCAGCAACCTCATAGTATGTAATAAGACGGACTGTGTGGGACTCTGCAGTCCACCATCCTGCACTCCGCACGGTGCCCAGACTAAACAACACGTGTTGAATAAATCCCCACAAGCCAGTCACATCTAATCTTCACAGAGGAATTAAGTAACCAGCACATGGGTATAAATGTAATTATAACCAGGCGTTACCATGAGTAACTAAGAGCAGGGTGAACCCAGACAGGTGGCTCTAGAGTCCCTACCTCTAGCCGTGACAGCACCCTGCCCTGAGATCTGCCAGCTCAGCACCACTTCGGTCACGGGGCGACTGAGGGCCAGGCCAAGGCCACCCCGAGCTCTCTCCAGCCCAGCGCCCTGTCTCAACAGGTCCTGTCAATCACCACCTGAAAGACAAGCCCACCCTGGGCCTCACCACAAGTCTAAACAACTGAACAGAGTGGGCATGTAGGCTGATGAACTAACTCTTCATAGAAACCCAGTCAGGAGGCTACCTTCCACGACAAGATATGTCAAAGGCCTCAAGGAGGAATCAACCACTGGAAAACCTTCAGGTGCACTCAGATCGAGAAACTTACTACTCAAGGTCCACCTGCTAAGTACCGCAAAGCCTCTTCTACGGAACCAAAAGTGCACAATATAACTTTATTCAAGAGGATGTTTACATTTCACCCAGCTTGGGTCTTTAGTAATTTTTTGTTACCATTTTACTTAAATCTTATAGTCAGGGCACATGCCAAGAATCTGTTTCCAGAAATGCATGAGCAATGAAAGAAACACAGTCCATCTTGAGTAGGGAGATTCCTTGCAAGAAGGTCCTTCCTAGAGGACAACCTAGCTTAATGCTATGTAACACAGCCCATGTTTTAGCAATGACATTTAACCACATTTGCATCAAATTCAGGATGTTTCATAAGCCACACAACTAATTAGTTCCTAAATCATTCTGCAACATTAACGTTCATTTATCTTCACACACACGTAACTTGGAATAAAAGCTTAAATGCTCCTGTATTCAGATTTTCTCTGGTAGGAGAAAAATATCAGTGAAGCTTTTGGTAGAAAATGAATCAACACAAACAGTGATTTCCTTCCAACCATCTCCTCCATTTTCAAATACCAAAAAGACTAAGTGTGTGTTAAGACATATTTACTGAGAAACTTTGTATCTGACTTACCTATTGGATTTCTATCAAAGAACAACACCGGAGCTCTCAGAATGGACTCGAACATTTTGTTGTGCAAAGTTTGTGAAGAACTAACTAGGACGTAGAAAACCAACAGAGATCTGGCCAGGCCAAAAAGGACGGTAGCGACAGTTAAACCTGAAACAAAGAAGTGTTACTCAGACAACACAAGATCTCTGACCTTTCTTTAGTGATGCTAAGACACGTCAGGTAGTTTATGCTGCTATTATACAGTTCATTCCATAAAGCAACCGGATTCTATCAGAATGCAATGCATTCACAAGATACATTTAAAAAGAAAAATATAAAATCACTTATCTTCAATTTCAAGTTCTACTAAAAACTCAGAAAAGGATAATTATAAAAAGTAAGTCTTCCCTTCGAATTTCGAATCTGGCTATTTACAACGTGTTTCATAATCTAAAAGTGAGGTGTGCTCTGTGAACAGCATGTGAATTAACGGGGAACAGGAGAAATGATTTACTACCATTTCTGCGTAGACAAAGCCCAAATCCCTTTAACGAATATGAAAATATCCCATTAATTTGCAAGCAGATAACCTAATCTTAACTGAATCGCAAGAAAACACAACTTACATTTTGACATAATTAATCTAAATGAGCAACTCACTTCTGTTTTATATGCACAAAACATTCCTAAATGAACATAATCATTAAAACTACATTTTGTTGATGACATAAATGAGTACCTACTGTATACATAAAACTTAAAATAACCCACTTAACGTTTCTTGAACTCACGCTGCTAAACAGTGGATATAACTTCTATAATAAATATTCCATCAGGTACTGCTCTCCTCCGCATCACTGTTAATTAAATTCAGAAAGTTGTTCAAATGCCTCAGTTCCATCAGCAGGCATTTCCCCTTACCCCGCCATCCTATACGAATGTGTTACAGAATCCCTTCCTTTTTCCTCTAAGTCCCGTTTGGTCCACCCATCAGAAGGGGCACAGCTAACGGATTTAGGTACTGTAGCAAGTAATCAACAAAATAAACACCAGATTTCAGTGAGTGAGTTCTTAAAATGATACAACTCACTTTGTCTTTAGGAAAGAGGAGAGTTCCTGTGGGAATATTTAAAATTTTAGATGAGGATTTCCTTTAAAAAGTATGTACCACTACATATACTCTAAGCACTCCTATGAAAACAGAGAGCCAGGTTAATATTAGCCTGGCAAGCCAGATGTTAATCACACCGATGGGGATGCAATGACATTGTGATCTCAAAATAAGAATCCCAA